TTTCCTGCCTATGCAGGGGGTCGGACTCGATGATCTATTGAGGTCCCTTCCGACCCTAACATCTATGAATCTATGAATCTCTCCTCCCCACGTGCAGGGGCTAGGAAAGCTGGGCCGGACAAGAGCCCCCACAGGGAAGCATCCTGCCAGGTCCTGGCCTGGAGGGTGCCCAGTGGGAGAACCAAGACAGCCTGGCCCTGCTCCGGGCACCGGCCGGTTTCTCTCCGTGGTGCTGGCACATCTAAGGGCAGGGACAGACACACGGCCTGCTGGAACATGGGCTAGTTTTGCGCCACGGCTTGCCAAGCAGAAGGCAGGGCTGGGTGGCACCTCAGAGACTAATTTGCTCGGAGAGGCAGGGGCTCGCTCATCGCTGTCCTCTCCAGGCATTATCGAAGTCTCGGGCTGCGTCACAGCCAGGAGATCCCAACACCAGTCCTCTCTTAAACAATCACGGGCTCGGTTCGGTGGCGAAGGCTCAGCCAGGTTTCTTGTCTCAAGGCACGGCCATAACACACTTATGATCTGCTGCACAAGGCGTTAACACACGTGTGCCTGTGACAAAGTGCACCATGTAGGCTCTCCTGGGCCAGTACCAGGTCCCCGCCATTTCTAACTCTCCTTCTATACAGGCCTAAAACCAATGCTGTCTTACTTTCCACCTGGAGTTCGAATGTCTTAAGCTGTCGTGTACCAGGAGCTTGCTCCACACCCTGATCTGGGGGTTCCCATCCCAGCGTTATCACCCCGATACCGGACTATCCTACACCTTGCACAGCCATCCCCACCCCTTCCCATCCCCCAAACTTGCCAAATTTTCCTTATGGAAGGTGTTTGTGCATCGGTCAGGTTTGCTGGTCAGGCTGACTGGAGATGGGGGTGATGTGCAGCTTGTCTGGGCACGGTTCAGACTGACGGCTGCTGCTACTACACCTTACCATGGGACGGCAGGGGAAGCCAGCAGCCTGTCTGCCTCATGGGAGCACCAGGCTGGAAGGGACCCCAAGGATGGTCTGGTCCAACCCACTGCACCAGTCCTCAATCCTCCCTGCCCAGCGCCTCCTCTTGGAAACGTCCAAAGGGGACTCCACCTTGCCCAATTCTTTTGCCACGGGTCTGGATGTCTCCTGTAAGCAGGTGTGATACTAGTTTCACACCCCATGCCCGGAGACGCCACCTCCATGGTAGCTGAGCTGGGTTTACCAACCTGCGCTGCCCCTGGGGTACGATGCAAGTAGGGAAGGGCTAGCTTGGCTGAGCACAGGCTGCAAGGCAGGGTAGGAGCAGTAACAGTTAAAGGCCTTCTGTGGAAGGCACAGGGGTTCATCCGAACCTCTGGCATTTATTCAGGGATGTTCAGACTCAGTACAAACTAGCATAATACATAAGGACAACAGGCAGGACAGTACAGCCAAACCTGGCACATGAGATACAAGGGGTATATGGGGACTGAATAAAATCATAGAATCAGAGAGCCGTGGGGCTGGAAAGGACCTGCAGGGGTCACATCTAGTCCAACCCCGGCCTGTCCAAACCAACCCAGACCGACTATA